GCAGAGAAGTGGGGAGCTCCAAAATTCCAGCACCTGCAGTGGAAATGGAGAGCCAGGCAGTTATTTAACAGAGAAAGACAATAACACTCTCCGCAATGTGTAGTTCTGCATTTGTCTTGCATTTTCAGATTGAAATTTAAAAGCTGCATTGTTTCTTTTTTTCTTCCTTTCACTCTTGCTCCCTCTTTTTTCCTTCTATCCCTTAATCAGCCTCTGAACACGAAGTTCTGTCTTTTAAGATTGCTAATTACCAGTGCACGCATCAATCAAAATTGTCACCTCTCCAAACTTCAGAGAGAGGAAGCTCTGCTTGAAGGTGCTGCATCGTGATGATTGAGGAGTGGGTGCTGACAAAAGAATGAGAAGCACCTGTTTATACGCTACCTTACAGTACATATAAGTGTTTCAGCTACACGAACCTCAAAAACATCTCTCTTCCTTCCAATCTGATTTGGAAATAAATAGTAGCAGTTCCTATAAATAAATCGTTAATAAGCACTGTGATTGCAGCTGATCACAGAAATGTAATCATTTTAATTTCAAACATTTGTATGTCATTTCCTAATTAAGAAATTAGTGCCCACAGATTGTGAACCTTTGTTTATCTGTGGCTCTTCACTGTTCAGCCTGCTCTGCTGCAAATAAGAAAAATTTAAAAAAATGCATTTATATTGCAGCAGCTACTTTGTCGCTACTTTAAAGCCCTTTGTAATGTATTTGTGTATTGATAGAGTTACTTATTTAAGTGATGATGATCAGAGGAGAACATCTAATATAGTGATACAGAAAAACAGAAGGTATAAATTCTCATTTTACTAAATTTAGAGTGTCATTGTTTGGAATTATGGCCACTTTCTGATGATCCTGAGCCTTCCTAGTTAGGTGTCTGCGGTGGAGGTGAGGGCAGCAGGCTGGCAGGAAGGTGGGTGTGTGTTGGAATGCAATAGATTTGCAGAGGAAGATGGGGCTTGTTTGTCATGAAAGGACATTTCAGACAAGGTTTATTCAGCAGGCTGTCACAGAAGAGAGCAACGAATTTGCTTTATGAGCTATAACTGAAGGATGTAGCCAAAAGGCATTATTACACAACACAATAAACAAAAAACACAATTTGTTTGATAATAAAAAAACAACAACCTGCAATATCTCTCTTTTCCTTGGAAGAGGATGAGATGTATCTGAGATCTTATTATACACACAATGGGAGGGGGGGCTGTGATCTGAGCCTTTATAAAATAATTCATCTCCACTTACTGGTTACTGGTTGAGAGAGAATTACCAAAGATCAATAAAAGATTTTGCCCATGTATTGTATAAACCCTACATGACATTTGAGCTGCTAACAAATCAGAATGTTTTTACAGTATGTAGATTTTCATGACAAAAATCCTATCTCACTTCTCTCTAAATATTTTGTAGACCATGTGCAAATTACATATCTGATTAGAAACTTTATCCTTATACTGTTCAGTGGAATAAAACAACTAATTGGATTCAATATGTTTTTACCAGGTCATTTATGTAGAATGTCAGAATGAAGTGCTTTAAAATTTGAAAACAGTATTTTATTATTTAACTATTGCTTTTCTGTGTAAAACCCAGACATTTTTTGAATCTGTTACACAACCCATGAAGAAGTTACCATCTATACCAGCTGGTAGCCAAGCAGCATGGGCAGATGATGCCAACTGAGCAACTGAGGTTGGAAAGTCTCCTAGGATGAGAAATATTTGAGCTGTGTACATCCCACACCATATTCCTCAATTCAATTCTTGGTTGGGTGACATCTTCTCAGATCTATTCGTAAACACACAAACACATCCTGACAGATCTTCTGGCTTCATTTTGTAGTAGGATCATGACTGCTGTCCTAGAGCTGTGCTGAGCATATTGAGTTTTACGTTGCCCATCTCTTCCAAGGTGTGATCTTTTTTGTTTTCTGAACAAAAATAAAAACAATATGAAATGACTGGTGATACTTCAGAGTTGACACACTTTTTCACTCTTCTTGTCTTTAACTTCTATCAATTAACAATTAGCTTTTATCAATCAATAGCAATTGTCTGATCTTTTTTTTTTGTTTCTGGAAAGCACCTTCAAGCACTATTGTCTCCAAAATGTTTTGGGATTTTGTTTAAAGTGCAATCTCCTCTTGTGTATTTTAAATGTCGCAATCAACTTATTTTCTTTTACTTTGTTTTTGCATATGTAAAGGACTGAAAAGAAATAACATGGACATGTTTTCTAAAATATTTTTGCAACTTTATTGTATTGGAAAATCCAGCAACATTTATTTTGTGGAGGCAAATCCAATTGGTGACCTGCCTCTACAAGCTTGTGAGTGGATCAATATCAACCCCTTTGCAAGAGAAATCACACTTTTATTAGGCATTGAGCTACTGTACAGTGGTTAACTGTTCACCCTTCTAAGGTGACCATAATTTGATAATATCAGTTTCTATTACTGAAACTATCAAAAACACAATTACACTTGAAACAAAAAAAAATAGTTTAGATGTGTTAGGAATTGGTTATCACAATGTAATTAATGGAAAACATTACGAAATTGAAATATGACACTTGCAGGTGCTTAAAACACTGGAATAGTTCCCTGGAAGTGGAAACATGTTTGTCTGGTATAAAACTCATATTTAATCATAGAAATTCTCTTCCACAGATCAAAATTCCTTGTACCAAAGGTCCATGTAGCATTTCATTCATTCTGCAGGAGCATAGAGAGACATTGTATGCTACATTTAGTCGAAGTCAGAGGCAAATTGCAAGAGTTTCTAGCATTTCCCTTGTGAGCGTAATATCATGGTGCATTATCTATTTCTATATCTATTTTCTAACTATTTAGAAAAACTGTAATAGGGTCACAAGGGAGCTGGAACCTATCTCACCAAGCAATGGGCCCTGGGCAGGGTACACCCAGGGCAGGCAGACAAAAAACACATCCACACCAGGGCCAAATTTTCCAGAAGCCAGTTAACCTACAAGTATGTTTTTAGACTGGGAGAAAACCAGAGGACCCAGAGGAAACCCACACGAACCCTGGGAGAACATACAAACCCCATGCTGATAGCACCTCAGGTCCAGCATAGAACCCAGGGCTCCACCACTGCAAGGCAGCAATGATAACCACTGTGCCACCCTAATGTGGTTTCAACAGGCAAAAAATAATAATAGACTCTACGAATTCAACATTGACTGTCAGAGTCCTACTAAATCCCCTAAATTACGTGTGCCCTTGGTACTGTATATGGATTTGTATTCTTTGGAATAGAAAAGGTTGTGACCAAACCATGAGTTTTGTGCCACACAAACATGTCATTTTTGTTTCAAGCAGATTATTTCAGCATTTTGTTACAGTGGAGTACTATACATAGATTTCTATTGGTGCACTAAGATTGCTTGTAAGAGACTTGCTGTTTCCCATGTTGCCAAGTAAAACTAGTTTCTGCTAAGGTACATGTTTTGGCACTGCCTTATTACTATATCTTAGTTCATATAGTTTTTTTCAAAACAGAAAAGAAGAAACCTATCCTTTATTTTTGGACCGTCAGAAAAAAGCATCAATCTGAGCTGGCTTTTCAAATCAGCCAAGGGACAGAGAAACAGAGGAACAGACTGGAATAAAAAGTTATAAATGTCTTTATTGTGCTTCCAGGTTGTTCAAAGCTGTCTGGCCCAGCATTGTGTTTCTCAGCTTTGTGTAAGGATACCTTGATCAAGTGATGTGAGGAACAGATACAGGATACCGATAAACAGTGCTGTTAAGAGTCTGACAGATGTATATTCTGTTGCACGATTTTTTAATTTGATCTTTTTACCTGCATTGTTTTCAGAACAAAAGAAGCTGCCAACTTCATTGAAAAATATGTAATTTAATATTCTGATTACATACCAAATATTACCCTATTACCCAATTCCCAACAAAACAGATTTAGAAAGTTTAAGTACTTCACATGATAAACTAGAAATGTACTTCATTTTTAGCACTCTGAAATTGGACTTGTTTTGTTTGAGAAAATGATCATTTATAGCAGAAAAAAACATTCTGTTCAAAATCATTATTTGATTAGTCCTACAAAGAGTATAATGGCTTTATCAATTTCCTAGTATTATCAGTTCTACTAAAGGTGTGTAGAAATGAAATATTGACAAAATGTAACTGCACTTCACCCTCACAAACAAACTTAAGATAAAAAAGTGAACTGGGACCATCTTCTCCAAACTGGAGTTCATACACAAATCTGTCAAATAGGAAAAAAGAAGAAAAAAATTGTATGGAGGGGGAAACAAGGACATTCAAATTGATGGTTCTTTGCTGTAAACTGGCCCTTATCTATTTCTACAGATGTGCAGGTATGCTTTAAAGTCCTTGTATTTTTCTTTGTCAGCAACATCTGTCGTCCATTTGACCTCCAGCAGTTTACATTAAGAGACCCTAGTGGAGCAGAGGCTACTGGGCTTGGCAGTGCTGGAGTATTTCCTCAGGGATATGGGATGTACAGTACACTGCTGTCTGCTTAGATTTCGTCCCTCCCAGACAGGTGTGCATTGGTGATAACCATAGATATTGACACATCTAGCTTTTAACAAGCAGTGCCTGAGCCTCTGGAGGCCGCAATTCCGTGTATAATGTAACATCGCACAGTGTATTCTGATAGAAGTATTCATTGTTCAATTTTGTGAGCATGCCAAAAGAGGGAGAAAAAAATCTTTACATCTGAAATCACTGTTGCATCCCAAAGGCCACATATTTATTCAAGAACAGCTGAACTGGGTGAGTGCTTTATTTGCTGAAAATGGACTATTTAACCTACCATTTTGGTTGGTTTCACCTTTTTCCCTTGGACTGGGTTAAACTTTATGGATCTGAATACTTTGTTGTAGTGTTTAAGGTTTTTGAGATGTTTTAAGGTTAAGCTTAAGGTGTTTAAGGTTTCTAGATACTGAAAACTGAGTGAACTCCACATTTCTTTGTTCCATTGCAGTTAAGGCCATTGTGTTGAAGAGGAGATGCTGAACTTGTGAGGCCTCACTGAACGCTAAGACAGAACCAAAGACTGTATCACTGAGCAGACGAGAGGGCAGACTGAGGCAAAGAGTCCCGGAATCTCAGTTTAGGGGCATCCATACACAGGTGGGTCTTATACTGTCTACCAGATGATAGTATTTTGAGTCAAGGACAATCAATTTCAGGTGATATTGAAGCACATTTATATATGCAAATGTAAATATCATTGCTTATAGTGTTGCACTCCTCAAATCTTAGTTGAAATGTCCATTCTTCTTGTATACATCCACGAAAATTCCATTGAGCGTCACTTAAGACCCTCAGGTGTCTCTGTATCCCAGGACTTCAGGTTGCTGCTGCACACTTAACTTTGCCTCCGAATAGTTTAAAAAAAATGTCTAACTCCCTGTTCTGAAACATGTTTTATTAGGAAATATGAAGTACCAAAGCAGAAAGACTAGCTAAACAAATAAGTTTAATTTACGGTATATATCCTATTTCAAAGTGCTGGAGCCCTGTTTTTCTCACTTTCATCCTTTAAATTACAAGAGTTACAAGCACAGAGTATTCTGTTTTGTGAAAGTGGGCTGGAATAGCAGGAGCCTTGAGGACTATATGCTCTGAGACTGTAAGCCTGATTTGGATTTAAAATCAGCACAGATACTGCAGCTAAGTGAGTCTTGAGAGAACTTAAAGATACTCCCTAAAAATGTGAACACTGTAAAAATATGCTGTGCATTTGTGCTGATCTTGATTTCTAAGATCTGTTGTTTGGATTAGATGGTATACCTAAAAAGTAAAAGAAAAAGAAAGAAAACCTTGTTTGGTCTTATCACCCTAGAATTTAATCTGTTCAATTTGAAGAGGAGATCCTGAGAGGATTATGTGCATCACTAGGTGCTGTATTGTGTAGCGCAAAGATGTATCTGAGGTATCCACTGAATTGAGGCCAGTGGCAGAAGGCAATAGGGATAATGTTGCCTTGGAGCAATTAAGCACTCTATGATTTAAATGCTGTGGGATGAAACATGAAAAGGATGTCAGAACTTGTTAAACTACATTTTGTTCTTCACCAAAAAAAGCTTCTCTCATGCCACATTTTCAGTGATTTGTTGCCAGGGCAACAAATGATGATTTTTTTTTAAGAGAAGGGGTCTTTATCTATGTGTTTGTATCTTTTTTTTGGAGAGAAAGTGTCATATCACAGAAATCTTATGCAATAGCACATCAGGCTGGGCATTAACATTAACATTCTGAAAGGGCTCTTGTGCCTGACAGCACAGAGCCATGCTTGAATGGTGGCTCAGTAGGCAGCACTCTCAACATTAGGACAGAAGGTCAGGGGGTCAATTCCTACACAGGCTACCGCCACCCCCAGCATGGTGCTATGCAATGCTCTGCACTTGAATGAGGCGTGGAGCTGGGTTCCTTTCCATGAGCTCCAATGAGAGGTTCCTCCGTACTTGTTGAAAAGCAGCAGGGGCTGAAAACAGTGGCGTCCAGGACAAATTGCTACAGGAAGGCTCATTTCCCCACCCCAGCATGAAAGACCGTGCTGCAACTCTTTATAAACAAGTGCAAAGACTCCCAAGGGCATCCTTGTATAAGTAATGACATCTAGAGAAGTTTGCCATTTGTACCTTTCTCCAGCAGACACTGGAAAGCTTCTTATTGTCACTTTACCAGCAAAACACAATGAAGAAAAACCAAAGTATCAATTTTAATAAGTGTGTATCTCTTAATACTAATGTTAGAGGCTAATCTCTTCAAGCCTTTTAACTGCTAAACGTGACCTGGAGCACATCTCTGACAAATCCATTCCTGCTGTTTTTTTTAAAGATGGCCCTATGTAATGATTCATATTGTGCCATCTCACATAACACATATTGAAGTTAATGCTTACTCTAAACCACACCCTGTTATTAAAAAGAAAAGCTCTTATTAAGAGAACATCCTATACTAGCAAATATACAACGATACACAATTGTACATATAATTTGATATGAGAAGTGTATGTGTTCCAATGTGGAGCAGAGAATTGTGAATTTTGTGTTTTGTGGATTAAATTAAATTAAAAGACACACCAATATTGATAATTATAACAATACCTATAAAATACAACAGCAGTAGATAAGATGTAATTTGAGTGCATTTAGCCAAAATTCTCTCTGAGCTCGAGCTTGAGTTAGCCAGGACATCCTTTGCTTATCCTGCAACAGTGTCTCATAACTTGCTGAATTCCTGTGAGGCCACAGTGTTGCCAGTGCATTATGTATTACTATAATCAAGGCTCAATTCACCTACTGTACATATGCTAGGGAGGAAAATGGAGGCTGGATCTGACAAGTGTACGTGTCAGAGTAAAGTGTGCACAGGCTTTATCTCCCACAACTGGGTACACTTGTACAAAGTAACTGACAAAGCTGCAGTAATAATCTCATGTTCCGAATGGATGCAGGAGTATACAAAGAATAATCAGTTATGATTCAATCATTTATGATAGAATTTATTTTACAAGGAATAACATCCTAAAATTAAATACACTGAGAAATGCTTGAGTGTTAAATAATAGTAAAATTTGGTTTAACACACTTGGCTGTGGACCAGTCTCCTAGTTTAAGGATGAGGACACCAGGACTGTTTTGCAGAATGAGGAGTAAACCAAGGGGTATCTGAAAAGGTGGTGATGGGTTGATGGATGGATGCAGAAGATGAATGCAAAAGAAAGAGAAAGAGGATAGCATATGCTATTTATGGTTTTCGTATTTTAGGAAATTATATTAGGAAGGTTTAAGGGTTAGGGCAGTTTACATCAAATTGAAGTTGGTTGTTGTCACCCGTCCGTTTGATTCTAATCTCTTCTAAACTCTGTAATCTTTCACATATACCTATATGTCCAGAAAAGGGATGAGATTCGACTTTAAATATTTTCTCTACCAGGTCAACTATTCCAGTGATATCATTCAAGGTGTGTATATACTGCCGTGCAAAACTCAATGTTTTGCATCATTCCACACTTCTCACTTGACATTTTAGCAGTTTTTTGTTTAGTTTAATGGTGATAGATCTAGTCTTTCCAATAAAAAATATTGCTTCTAGCTTTATGGCTGTGCAAACTAGAACAAACATTTTTAAGATTGGGCACGTCAGACAGTGAGACAATTAGATTTGATTGGCAAATGTGATGGAATAGCTACAGTAACACAACCCTTCATATTGGCTGTTCAAGTACTGTTAAGATTCTGATCAATGTGAATTAAAGATTGCTAAATGGCAAGTTTCTGTTATACTCATAACAGACTAAAGTCTAAGTCTCAAGACTTTTGCACTGCAGTGTACTGTATGTCATGAAGTATTTGTGTAATCTATATTGCTGAGTGTAAGTGTGCTCTTCCTTCAATAACTGCTGAATTTTCGCATTTTTGACTGGGAGAAAAAACACATGTTCTCTTTCTGGAATTTCAGGCCTAAGTACTGAATCATCTTGATTGTTCACATCTTCATTCGTATTCCAGAGGTTCAGAAATATACAAGTATAAGGAGGTAGAGAGGACCCTGATGGGAGATGAGAAAAAAAATCAGAAACACTTGCTCCCAGTTAGCTTAAGTATGTATACATCATCCCGTAAAATAACAAATGACAAAAACGTTTAACGCTTGGCAGGGTCTGATGGAGATATAAAACAAATCTCCTCACTGCGATGAAGCCATCTGTTCATCTGGGCGTATTGCTCACAGTATACAAACTATATATGCTGTGTTTCCAAACCCAAAGAGAAGCTATCATTGTTGCTTAGAAACCAGACAGCTCAACATAATGATGTGCTTTAATTCTTCCCTCCAATAATCTGGCTCTGTCTTTTCAGATAGTTGGCATATCTTAATCCAGTTTTGATAGCATGTGCAAAATATAATGTGACATAATATAATTTGAGCTTCATGTGAGAAATAGGATTATCTACAGTATGATTGTCACTAGGATGTGACAGTAATCATTTTCTCTCAGGAGACCAGACATTGCTCACTTGTGGCTTGACCTGTTGTCATTATCTGTTTTATTCTACAAAATTTGTAAGTCAGAGCTGTTTTAGTTTTCCTTCAGGCAAAGCAAAATAAACAATCCAAAGCAAAAAGACTCAGAGACTGGCCTGTTGTGGGCCTATTTGCAGAATTAATTTTCTGTATTTTATGGAGCAGAATATATATATTTTTTTGTTCAGAGAACCTGATTCCTGGAGGTTTAATCATACTTGGTGGCCATTTTCCAATACTCTTAGAGAATTCTTGGAAAGGTAAAATAAAAATAAATGTGTTTTTGTATTTTCTTAACTCCTCAGGCAACGAACTGTTGAAACTGAAACCTACCATAGGTACATAATATACAAATTGGGTACTTTAATTATCCTTTCCAGTAGATGGTAACACATTTTTAATGCTACTTCTAATTCTGTTTCTTAAAAGAAAAATCTTATAGTGTTTTCCTAATTGTTCTGCAGTTTCATTGTGAGATATGACTGTGATAGTTGCAGCTCTCACCCAGTGTGCCAGTCCTCTCAGTTCCTCTCATTCAGCTTGCCAGTGCTCAGCGGATGATTAATTTGTTTTGAAAGTCAATGTTTATCTGAGTAGATGCTCTGAAGTGGTACTGGAGGATCTGTGTAGCTCTTAGGTGCTGGTAAGGGCTAATCTTAGTAGGATCTGAGACACACTTCTATGTAAGAATACCTGGAAAAAAGCTCTGACTCATCATTGAACACAAGTGAAAAATGAGGATTCCTAGGTCAAACAAACATCTTTTTGACTCAGAATCTTTAAAGACAACTTTTGGGGTAATAAAAAATTCATATCTTATGTTTTGCTACAATAGTAATCTATGACAGCCAAAATAGAATATTCTTTAGAAGAGAATTGTTAGAGGTAAAGACTGCGGCTATTTACTGCAGCAAACTGTTTAGAATAATTCAGAGCTTGTGAATCGTAGATCTTGTGCATTTCTGGGCTAGTCTGAGTTACATGACAGGACTAACAATGTAGCTGCAGGATTAGTCAATATCCAGAACTCACGGTCAGGAATGGTTCTGCATTCAGGCATTCAGCAGAGTGCATACTTTTTTTAAACCAAATTT